AGCCAGGAGGCTCAAACCCACACATTTTCTTTTCCTCCGTGTGGGAGCCATGGATTGGCCAACGTTCGTGTCAAAGGCCGAAAATCCAGGTCCTGGCGAAGCAGTGGTGGAAGCGGCAATCAAATGGTTTAAGGGAAAACTCGGCGCACATACTCCTGCATTGGCCGAAGGCTTTACGGAAGCCATGGTGGAATCTCAACTTCCATCGGACATAGTGGTCCAGGCATGCTGCAAAAGATTGCTTCGAGCGGTGGAGGCTGTAGCTGCGGCCAGAGTTGCGCCTGCAGTAGGTCATTTGCCTGGACAACCTCAACAACATACCTCCGCGCAGAGTCTGGCGGCAATCTTGGCGCCGACAAAAACAGCGGATGTTTCGAGCTTGTTGGACAAGGCGAGCATGAAAACCCTCAGTTTCGGACTGCAAGCGGAGCAGAGTCTATGGAGCAGCATGCTGGCGCACACAGAACAGTGCAAGGCGGCTGGAAAGACTCCCTTCTTGTTTGTAGACCTTACTGCCAAAGAGTCGTTGCCAATGTGGCTCACTCCGGACCAAATCGGTGGAAAATTCCACCTTAGGGATGAGCGAGAGTGGACGTTGGAAGGCGCACAAGCCATATCCAGCCTGCAAGATCTGAGCAGAGCATTGAAGAGTGCAACGGCATCAGCCAGGTTTTTCAGGTCCATGCCTCAATGGCTTGGCGCATTCCTCCGGTATGCAGCAGTTGCCGTGGCCACTCAGCAGCTCACCTGGCCGGACGTCATGGCCCACATTGATGTGGTGGCTCAGCTATCAGAGCAAGAGCGACTCAAAGGACGTCCCCCGTTCCTGGCCTTTGTTTACGAAGAGCTAATGCGTAAGAACTGGGCTCGCAGGGCAGAAAAAGGAGACCCAGAGCTAAACATTGGCACGGCAATTCAGAAGATTGACAAAGACATGCTAGACATTTCTCGTCATCGGCTTGCTGAAGTCTTGAAAGATGCAGGCATGGAGTCCCGTGAGGACAGCGCCCAAGCATCAGGATCCAGACCCGCGCCGGCGCAGACTACAAACATTGCAATGGAAATGGTGGGCAGACAACTGTCCGCTGCAGAAGCTGCCCAGCGACAGGCCGAGAAAGTTTCCAAACAGCTGCTGGACACGCAGCAGGCTCTGTTGAAGAGATCCCAGGCAATGTCTGCTGACTCAATGGCGGGCGAGGCGCCAGTCCCAGGAAAGGGCCCTGGGAAAGGATCAGGCTTGAGCAAGAAACAAGAAAAGGCGAAACTCTGGTTTGCCAAGGGCGCTGCCCGGCGCCAGGAGCAGGCAAAGCGAAAATGGCAGCAAACGTGGAACTGAGGCGACACGCGTGTTCTCCCGAATAGGGCTGGATTACCTGGGCTGCTCCAATCGCTACCTGCCACAGGTCGGCCGGGCAGTCCAGTGGTGCTGGAGTGCTTCGCTGGCGATGCAGTTTTCACATTAGCCGTGATGCTGTGTGAGATGCCCTGCGCAGTTCCGTGGGACGTCAAGTTTGGTGAATGCTGGGATGTTCTAACGCACGGCAGTCTGCTGGTGGAGTGGGCACGGGCAGGAAAGCTGAAACATGTCCATTTGGGGACCCCATGCCAATCTATGACATGGGCCAGGTCACCGCAACTCCGAAGCGTGGAATTTCCATGGGGCTTGCCACATCTAGCTCCTCACCAAGAGGAGCTCGTAAGCAAGGGCAACTTCTTCGTAGTATTCACCGCAGAGCTTTGTGAGGCATTGTGGGCAGCAGGCGCCACTTTCTCGGTGGAGAATCCAGAGAGGTCATGGCTATGGATCTTGCATCCCATGAGACGTATCCGCGAACTGCCGGGGGTAGAGTTCTGTCTGCTGTTCTTTTCGGATTTCATGGTACCTTTTCGGAAGCCCACGCTCATCCTGCACAATACGGCAACATGGCACCAGGTATCGGATCACTGCCACCCATGGCCAGGGCCATTGTGCACCCTCCGTGGTCAGGTCCATTTCGAAGGCAAGCTCGTGTTCAAGACACACCTGGCGCAGACATATCCACCTCTGATGTGTTTGCGCTTGGCATGGTTGTTGAGGGAAGCGTGGACCTCGCATCCAGGGGCGCCCCAAGGCACTGGGGCTCAGCTATCGACAGAGCTGGTGGAGGTTGCGGCTGTTACCAGAAGACCTCCTTCCTTGGGCCCTTTCCTGGTCCCATTTGGACTCGGAGCACCTGTAGGCTTGTCCCCTGAAATGCATGTGGAGTTTGCGCGACAGGTCAAGCACCCCGCGTCTCAACTGCGTGAATTTCCGCAAGATGTCCTTGATGCCATTGAGTTTGAAGGTAGCAGTTCTGCTGAAGAAATCGACGCCTTTCGTTCTAACGTCTTGCATCGAGTGTGTCAACTGGCAAGCCAACTTCAGGATGAACAGGCCAGATGGGTGGCAGATGCTCCAGCGGCAATTCAAGGTTTGGTGGCTCGCATTCACGGGCCACTGTGGGAGGCATTGTTGCAAACAGCTCACGTGCAGGCTCCCGATTTTCTGAGGTCGTTGCGCGAAGGCTTTCCAATTGTCGGCGAGCTGCCTCTTTGTGAAGGGGGGGCAGTTCCTGCTTGTTTTCCAAGTGCAGGCACAGTGAGCGACCTCCGTGAGCGCCGAGAATTTCTCAATCTGGCTGTGTTAAAGGCGGTC